TCTTTGCCCTGGGACTTGAGTGTGTTTTTTTCTGCCATGATGAGAGAGGCATAGCAACACGCATCCTGTCATCTCCAAATGACAGACGTGTGTGATATTCGGTTCCCCCCCAGTTGCTGATTGACGCCGTGTCACATTTTTTTTCCTTTCGAGGTTGATACAACCCCCCCCCCCCCCACTTTATTTTCTATAAAAACTCTTAATTAAACTTCTCAACTTGTATCGTAAAAGGCCGTAATGAATGAACAGAGAGCATGAAACCCAAAGGAAGAGCCTAACTCAGCTGTGGCGATATATCTTCATGTTGCATGACAAAGATATTTCCACTCTATTATTCTGGAGAATTTACGACGGAATTTGTTAAATTTCTCACGTCTGTCCTTCCAAATTTGCCCTTAGCTACGCCAAGATCCACATCCCCATTATCGCATCAGTGTCGGAGCACCAGCCGACAACGTGGGTCTCCTTCTTCTTCGATCTTCACATCCTGGTGTGCACGTTCCCGGCGGGCCTCTGGTTCTGCATCAAGAACATAAATGATGAGCGAGTGTTTGGTAAGTCTGTTTGGGCTGACTTGAATTGGGGGTGGCATGTTTGGCATATTCTACCACCTGATGGATAGTCATGAAATAAATGAAGGGGACCAAACTCCACACCTTGAGGGACACCATATGTAAACTGGTGTTCCTATGTCCATCTAAGTAGCTGTCTTTTTTTTCTCACCCTCGAGAACATGCTGTCTATGACAATATAAATGACGTGATCAGCCTTTCAACAGAAGACAGAACTTGAATTATGGAAAACGGAAGGCTGAATTGACTGGAGCACAAAAGTACTTGTGAAGCCAAATGTGCTGCTGCACAAAGTGAATGCTGACACTTTCATATTATTCAGGAGAGTCACAATGAAATGCCTTCAATCAGATTAAAAAAAAATATTCTTAAAGAAGTGTGTAGAGTGTGGCTGGGAGAAAATAGTCATAAATGGCTGTCCACCAGCTCCAGAATCCCCCCCAAGGAATTTTTTTTTTTTTTTTTTTTTTTTTTTTTTTTTTTTTTTGCACATTATGAAATGTAGCGGGGGCTTGATAATTGTCTGACCCGGTGTTAGCATTCATTGACCAATACTGTATTATACAAAGAGAAACTTCTGTTCATGACAAAAGAGGCAGCATGTGATGATTTGATGCAGAATTTCTATATCAGCAGTTTTTAGACGTCTGAGGGTGTCGATACTCTCCGCCGTACATCTCGGACTGAAAAAAAAAGGAAACTAGTGAAAATATATAATATACAAGATGATTATTCTTGTGAATAGGCAGCAGTCGGGCTGGCCTCTCAAAAATGCACCCCGAAGGACACTCACTGTCGAAACATATTACTTTGAGGTAGCTTTTGAGGTAAAAGAATCGGCCAGCCCTGTCGAGATCAAGGGCAGAGGACCTTTAAGCGATAGAAAAGTCCTTCAGCGGTCTGTTTCTCCGACAACTCACTCAGCCAATTATTGCTATTGATCGGCCCCTCACTTGTTGAACCCGGTCGGTGCTTTTCAAGGACAAAAAGCCACCGGCGCACTTTCTATTCAGGGTGTGTCATGTGCACAACGAGAAAAGACTGATTAGCTGAGCCTGTGGCTGCTTATTTTTATTTTTTATTTTTCTTGCCGCCAGTGGCCCTGTACGCCATCAGCGCGGTGTACTTCGCCGGCGTGATGGTGCGTCTCATGCTGACGCTGACGCCGGTGGTGTGCATGCTGTCGGCCGTGGCTTTCTCCAGCGTCTTTGAACACTACATGGGAGATGACACCAAGCGGGAGAAACCCCCCGCCGAAGACAGCAGCGACGAGGACGACAAGAGGAATTCGGGCAATCTCTACGATAAGGTATGGGTGGGAGGATTGTCAAGTTGTGCTGTACCGATGGAGTGCATGACACCACCTCGAGCTGGATTTACCTCGCAGGTCCCAGTGCTTGATAACAATTTCAGCCTCAATTTTTTTTGCCCCCCCAACCCCCCATTTCCATCTGATATGGCTGCTTTCGCAACCCGTGAACGCATGAAACGGCACGCTTGCCTCCCAACGCCCAATATTGCATGCAAGCAACTCCAGGAAGGCTGGCAGACGTTCACCTTTCATCTCCGCATCCCACCAATATTTTTGGAGCCATTTCGGCTAACCTGTGATTCAGCCGTGATTCAACAGCAGCTATTTGATACTCTTTCACTCCATCCCCAAGCGCGCGTGTGCGCGCTGGATGACTGGTTCGATATGCTTTATTCTTTGTTTACAATCCTCGGACAAAAGGTGGAGTGCCAAGCTTAGCACCACATGTACATCGATATTTTTTCCAAAGTGAATATCCTGTTTGCAGCATCCGGGCCAATGGAATTGGAATGAAATCGCTTATTGGTTGAGATCCATTCCGGACAGTCCAAAGCCTGAATTAGACGAACGGCGGCGTTCTTGTTCTCGCATTTGGATATTGAAACGTCTTTGTTTCCCAGGCTGGCAAGGTACGCAAGCACGTGTCCGAGCAGGAGAAAGCGGAAGAAGGCCTGGGTCCCAACATCAAGTCCATCGTCACCATGCTGATGTTGATGCTCCTGATGATGTTTGCCGTCCACTGCACCTGGGTCACCAGCAACGCTTACTCCAGCCCCAGCGTGGTGCTGGCCTCCTACAACCACGACGGGTAGGAGCTACCCCCCCGCACACATTGACACGCCTCTTGCCGTAATTTGACAATGGCAGTAAGAATAGCTTAAGGAGCTAAATCGGTCGTAGTTCTCACATGGGGGAGTGGAAGGCTCCACAAAGAGCAGCAAGACATGCATATTTCATACAACATTTTGTTGAAATATTGATGCATGCGTGACAGCGCACGCTTTGATATCGCTACTTATTTTCGAGTTTCTAGGTCACGTAAATGCGTTTGTCATTGCCCATCTTCGGCGTGGCGCTCGCTTCAAACTTTCCAAACACACACAGCGAGGTATCGTGAGGTCGCTGTGCTGCTTCTACAGTGCGTAACCGGTGATTTATTTATTTTTATTTTTTATTTTTTTTCCTGAATTGACATCGGGGCTCCTTATCATTAAGGGGACGGCATACCGTACTCGCTCAAATAGCAACCTTGGCTCCAATAGTCGGCAGCCGCGTCGCTCACTTGATTACGAAATTTCTCCCCACGTGAGGAAATGGCGCTCAAGTGGGGCCGGCGTTTCTTTGACGGCTTCCCTTTTTTGTCTTGTCAGGTCACGTAACATCCTGGACGACTTCAGGGAGGCCTACTACTGGCTGAGGCAGAACACGGACGAGCACGCGCGCGTCATGTCGTGGTGGGACTACGGGTATCAAATTGCGGGGATGGCCAACAGGACGACGCTCGTCGACAACAACACGTGGAACAATAGTCACATCGCGCTGGTGAGCTCTTTGGCCTCAATTGAGCGTGTTCACAGCCTCGCCATGTTGCACTCTCGTTTTTGATGCACCCAAAGAAACAAATTATCTCTCCCGCCAGCCACCGGATGATCATCAAGCTCCGCAGTGATTCATTTATTTGATTTAAAAAAAAAAATTAAAATTGCCAATTCTAACTGCTCTCTCCCGAAAAGCCCAATTAATGTCGTTTTCTTAAGCGTTTTAATTTAAGGACACTCCAGTTAATTGCTGTCGCGTACTGTAGGAGGGTGGCGGTGTTGATTTAAAAAAAAAATGTTTAACGTTGAAAACGCCATCTGCTTTTTGACTGCCCCTTTGCCGCCTGCCGCCTCCCTCATCTGTTCTCTGCAAATAAAAGTCGTGGCGCGCAAGAGGGCGTAATTGACTCCCGGCTAACCGCTCCGCTTGCGACCCCGTGCCCGTGATTCTGTCGCGTTTTATTTGAGCTTTCCTTCAACATTTGACTGCGACAGCGAACGGTTATGGAGGCGCTTCCTCTCACAAAGCACAGAGGCAAAACTTTACAAGCGTCATAAAAAAAATAAAAAAAAAAGTTTAGTCCGCAAGGATGCAGCCAACTGCCGAGATTAAAGCCTGCATGCGTCCAAGACTCTGGCAAGTGTTTGTGTCTGGTTAGCAACCTAAGATGGTTTTTTTTTTTTCCCCCCTCCCCCTGAATGCGATGGTAAAACTTTGAGCGTGAAGCTGCATCGCAAAGCTGTACTAACAGCCTTTGCCGGAAAATATAGACAAAGGTCATGACTTCTTTGCTTACCCGTACAGAGCTTTTACATGACAGTCATTCACCCACAAATATTTTATCTACAATTAAAAGGCAACATATATCTCAGTGGCTGGGTAATTATTAATTAAAATTATTATTATCATCGTTTATTTTTTTTAAGAAAGGGTGTTTTTAAATCTCTGCCTGACGATGTAGACTGGAGCATAACCTCCATTTTGGAACTGGTGTAGATAAGACTAGCGAAGCTGTTCAGAACCTTTTTAGTGATTAGTTGGCCAATAATGGTTTGAGGGATGGGTGATTGCGAGCAAGATTTGGAATATATGCCAGCAAAATCACATGAATCGTGTCGCACGCTTTCAAGTGTTAAAAGTGAGTTTTGCCACATTTAGGTGGGCAAGGCCATGTCTTCCAATGAAAGCGCAGCTTACAAAATCATGCGGTCCCTGGACGTGGACTACGTGCTGATTATTTTCGGCGGCGTCATCGGCTACTCGGGCGACGACATCAACAAGTTCCTGTGGATGGTGAGGATAGCGGAAGGGGAGCACCCAAAGGACATCAGGGTAAGTGGCAGCGGCTCGGCCCTCGACGAATTTTATCGGCAGGCCTCCAAAACCGCTCAGCACATCGGTGAGAGGAAGGAGGTTTGCCCCACCGGCGACGAGCAAATTCGCACAAACTGGCTTTTGTTGATAGCTGCGACAGTTAACGTCGAGCGGGTTTCAACACGGCCAATAATTGGGTGCAGCGACTCAAACCCCTGAACACCACAAAGATGTCGAAGACGTATCAGCTGAGCAACAATAATCAGTTTAAATGGCCGTAATCTCTTTAAATGTACCCGGCAGCTCCATCCCCCCCATGACCCCCCCCCCCCCCACTCCAGCAAAGTGTCGACTGTTAGCTACTAAAGCTAGCTGAATACCAAGAGGAACTAATGACCACTCTGAGGCGCTAGATCGAGTATAAAAGATAGTCACACTTTTAAAGAGGAAGTAGCAACCATTTGAAAGCTTCGTTTATTGGTAAACTCTGTCATCGATGCTTTTAGGCGTCACTTTGACATGAAAAAGAATGATAGGAAGTGGCAGAAAAGAAAAGCGGCTCTTTTTAGAAATGCAGCTTGAGTATTTATCGTCTTTGGTCGAATATATATTGTGCCTCCTCCTTGGCGGAAAGGTTGCAGCCGTGTGCCGTTTCCGCCTTCAAATGGGTTTTCCCAGCTACTTAACCGTCTACACGGCTCTGTCTTAGCACCTGATCCTTTCACAAAGCGCCCAGTCTGGATGATTCCATTAAACACTTGCCTCCAATAAAACCCAAGTGCAGCTTACCACCCTGCCCCCTCCACTTCCCCCCCTAAGTGTAAGATTCCGTCTTCAAGTCGTGCCTTATCGTTTTTATACACCCATACTTTATATCTTTCTCGACGCCGCGATACAAACGGTGCAGTAGGAAGATGGCAATGCTTTGTCGTGTATTCGTCCTAATGGTCTTATTTTGAAATAAAATGCAAATTAAATATGGAGTCAAATGACAGGACGTTTTCAAATTGGAAATCCGATGAGCTCCAACTGCAATATAGTCGGGGATGACTGTACATCTGGGAAGGTTTTTTTTTTTTTTTTTTTTTTTTTAATGTTAGAATGTTTTGGTCCTTGTCCTCTAAAAATCCGGACAAACATACAGTGCACACAAGCAACAATTCACCCATTCAATTTTTTTTTTCCTTTCTAATATCTTCCAGGAAAGTGACTACTTCACCCCTCAGGGAGAGTTCAGAGTGGACAAGGCCGGTTCACCCACTCTGCTCAACTGCCTCATGTACAAGATGTCCTACTATCGATTTGGCGAAATGCAGGTGAGCCGAGCGCCGAGTTGGAGCGAGCGAACGGACGGACCTCTTCGTTTTGCACCGCCACGACAACATTCTCCAGTTATTTGTTGAGTTGCGCCTCTTGAGGGCAGGCCGGGTCTGGTTAGAATCCCTCGATATTTCCACCTGCCGCTCTGATCCACTTCAGGGGCTCGGTTAATGAGTCGCGTTTGTGTGTAGAGAGGGGGAAAGTTCACACAAGTCTCGTTATCTCGGAACGCGTCGGGTGCACCGTTACTGTGTTGGTATGCCGCTTTGTCGGCGGTAACAAGCAGCCGCTGCCGCCGCCGCGAGAGGTGGCTGACTGGTTGAAAGGTATTCGGCGGGTGCCTCGGGAGTCCGCGTGCTGTGACAGCATTGTGGGTAGGAAAGATTTCAAGGGTTTTTTTTTTCCTGATGCCTTATTCTTTTGGTACTGGAGGGGAGAGTAGGTAAAGGCAACTGAGAATAGTGCCGACGATCTTGGCGCAAAGTGCAAAAAAAAAAAAAAAAAAAAGAAAAAACACTTTGCAAAGGGACTTAAAAACGTCAGCCTGCCGAATCTTTTCTTGGTCTGTTTCCATCCCGGGAAAAAAAAAAAATTCCTACAGCATGCCACCGAGCAAAAATGTCACCAAAATGGATGCAGAGGTTTTGTGCCTTCCATCTAGTGGAAGAGTAAATTTGCCCGTCACTGTACGTCACAGGCAAAGATAGATGATTGGTGTTTGTAATCAAGACTTTTCCAGCCAATTCTGAGAGTAGATCATGCCCCACGGCACACTGATTTTTATTTCCCTAGCAAAATGGGATCTTGCCCAGCAACCTGCAGCCTTGCACAGCTTTTGTCATTACTCTGCAAAATGACCTCAAAGCCTTTTCAAGAGTCCCCTGAAGATTTGCAAGCGTCCATATGTTGCAGCCTTTCTGCTAGAGTCCTCTAAATCTTACTCTGCTTCTTGTAGAGACGGGTTGCTTAATTGAGCTTTTATTATTATTATTTTTTTTGCCCCAGGAAGCTGTGTTTCTTCTGACATTTTACTACTACCCCTATCCCCCGCTTCCCAATCTCCCAGCTGGACTTTCGAACGCCGCCGGGCTTCGACCGGACGCGCAACGCCGAGATCGGGAACAAGGATATCAAATTCAAGCACCTGGAGGAGGCCTTCACCTCCGAGCACTGGCTGGTCAGGATCTACAAGGTCAAGAACCTTGGCAACAGGGAGCCGCTCGACCACAAGCCTCGCACCGTGGTGCCCAAACAGAAGTACACGTCCAAAAAGGTACAAAGGGCTCCCAACATGCATGTATGCATCCAAAGCGTGTTCGTATTGATACATAGAGACCCTCTGTTCATTTAACAGCTTTGCCAAATTCTTCTCCTGCGTTGTATTTGCTAATTTCAGACGGCCAAGAGGAAGCGAGGCTTCGTGAAGAACAAGCTGCTCCTGAAAAAAGGCAAGAAAGTCCAAAAAAAGTAACCCAGACGAACTCTCCTAGGAAAAAATAAATAAAATAGAATGCGAAGAAACCTCTGACAAACAATGAAGAGCACCGGGGTGTGGATTTCTGTGGCACTTGGGCTCAAGCGTTTTTTTCATCAAGAGCACCCCCGTGCGGCGAGGAAGGTGAAGTGTCAAATTCTGATTCTCTCCAGAGAACTGTTGTCCATTTTATCTTGGGGGGGGGTACATTTTGTTTTGCTTCTTTTCTCCACTTTTTTTTCTTTTTTTTTTTTACTTTGTACTTGAATGTGCGGTGAGGCATTGGGCTGCTCTGTTGGTTTGTGTCAATTAAAACAGTTGTGGTACACGAACGATGTGATCCTCAGTGCACGTGGTGGGGTGGAGAAGCAGGTTTAGAACGGGGAAGCGGGGGCAGGGCTGGGGGCGGGGGTAGGAACATTTTCCACCAAAGAGCCGTTGACGTGACCTTTCTCCGTGGCACACGTGAACTCCGGAAGAAGCGAGGAAGTGCTCGGGCCTTGTTCCTGCCACGTGTACACACGAAACGCATGCGGTATGGACGGACGTCACCCACCGGTTTGAATTCACCTTCTTGATCATCGTGGCTTCCTCTTCCTTTTCAAATCATTTACAAACCAATTGGCCGCACATGTAACTGTTGTGTAAAGATAATGTCAAAGGTGTATAATATATTGGATTCTTGTCGTGATTTTTTTTTTTAATACAGAATCAACATTGTTTTGTTATGGATGTTATTTTTTTTCTATAACAGCAAATAGATCAGTGAATGCAATAATTCTTGTACAGAGGGCCTTGAGATTTTGTTATGGATGGAATGAATGTGAATTTTTACAATCCTAACCATCCCCCCGCCCTCATAAATAGCTTAGATTGTAAATTTTTGCTGCTCAGGCTTCAAAGTGGCAAATCAACACAATGTAAGAAGTCGGGGCCTCATTAAATTAAGCCTCCCCTCCAGCAGAGGGAGCTCAAGTTGAACGAGCGAGCCCTCGTGCCTTTCATTGACTCACATTTTGATGTCTTCCCTCGTTAGTTCGTCGTCTAGCGACAGGCGTGGAGGTCTTGCAAACTGATAATAACTCGACATACTGAAAATGCTGATAGGAGGAAAAAAAAAATATCCGCGTTTCGTTTTTGCCTCGCTCTCCCCAGCTCATCAGGAAACACACATAATCACCTTTGTTTTCCAGTCACTCGTTGCCGTTTCGGGCCACACGAGAAAATTCCCAACAATTATGCAAAGAAGACAAGTAGGACAAGTCCAAATTTGATGGTTGTAACAAAAAAAAAATAATCTCAATACAGAGAACTCCATATTTGCAAATTTGTTTTTACGCTGATGCTTTTATTAAATTTTGTTTGACCCTCTCCTCCCTTGTTCCTTGGTGGGTTTTTGGTGCCAAGCTTCCTGCCGACTCAGCATCTTTGTTGCTCATGCCCGACATGTTGCTCGGAAGAAATGACCACATGTCCGGTTCTTTTAATTTTATGCCCAGAGAAGTTCAACAAAAATAAGTACGAGAGAAAAATGCTCGTTTCCTGGAATGCATACAGTCGCCTCGCATGCTGCAATTTTGGTGAACCTTGTTTGCACAGGGCAAGTAAAATGCTCTGTTGATTCAGGAAAACAGATTTTTTTTAAAAAATCCAATCCTCTTTCATGAGATAGCAATTAACACGTGTACCCAACTTTAGAACCACATAGATTTTTATTTAAATCACTCTCATTAGTGGCATGCAGCAAAACTGACCGGCTCAGGGAGTCATTCATTCCGCCGTACCGCAGTAATACATGTGAGCACAAATGTCATGTGACACACACTTTGCCTTCATCGCACATGGGCAAAAAAATATGCTTGTTAGATTTATTGAAAGCTCTAAAATGCTAATCAATATGTGGCCTGTAACTGGTAGGTGACCTGTCAAGGGGTACGCCAAGTCAGCTGGGACAGGCTCCAGCTCAGGCGTCACCCTTGTGAGGACAAGCGCTAGACGTATCTCTTTAATTTCTTGATTTTAGTGAAACCTGTTTGTACAGGCAAAATAAAAAGACTCAAAACTGTTCATACGGAATGCACGCTGTTTCCTCATTTTCATTTTTTTTCATTGGAAACTGGCAACACAGACGAGTGAGTCTTTTGAAACTTCACCTGACACTTCAATGGCAAGCAATGACTGTCTTGGCTTGATCGTAAATTGCCAGAATTGGAATTCATGCGCAATCAAAGCACTGAAAATGACATTTGAGAAAAGGCATCGATTTTTCAAGCCTTCTCGCTCATGGCCAGCTAGACAAAGCATGAGATGCCCATCATTCAGTGCACCCGCGTCGCAAAATATAAATTGGCCAGAAATGACATTTCTCATGTAGCCCGCTGCATGAGGAAGACGTTCGTCGCTCCTCGATGTGTGTAATGTGTGGTCGTGGGTCAGCATGTGAGCACAAATGTCACCATACGCCGCTTTATTCCGCTTGGAATGACACTCGAGCGTCCACGGCTGCATCACGGAAGGCACCTCTCGTCCACCATGTGTACCTGTGAAGTGCTGCAACGTTGTCTTTTGCGCCCATAGACTCAGCACTTGCTGCACTGATAGATTAACGGAATAACCCGTTTGGTGACCTTACAGCCACCTCTCTCTATCCCTCTCTCCCTACATCTCTCTATTTCTCTCCCTCTCTCTCTCTCCATCCCTGTGTCTCTCTCACTCTCATCGCTCTCTCTCTCTCCATCGTTTTCTCTCTGTCCATCCTCTCTATCCTCTCGCTCTCCATCCCTTGCTCTCTTTCGCCCCCTCTCATCCCTCTTTCTTTCTCTATCCCTCGCTCCATCCCCCTCTCTCTCCACTCTTTTGATCCCTCTTTCTCCATCTCCCTCTCTTTCACCATCTCTCTCATCCCTCTTTCTCTCCACATCCCCCTCTCTGTCCCCCTCTCTCCCTCTTTCTCCATCTCCCTCATCCCTTTTTCTCTCTCCATCTCTCTCTCATCCCTCTGTCCCTCTCTCTCTTCATCCCTCTCTCTTTCTATCCCTCTTCTCTCCACCCCTCTCTTCCTCTCTCTCTTCCTCTCTCTCTCTCTCTCCATTCCTCTCTTTCTCATCTCCCTCTCATCCCTTTTTCCATCTCTCTCTCTCATCCCTCTATCCTCTCTCGTCATCCCTCTCTTTCTATCCCTCTCCCCCTCTCTCTCTCTCTCTCTCTCTCTCTCTCTCTCTCTCCACATCCCTCTCTCTCCATTCCTCTCTCATCCCTCTCTATTAATCCTTCTCTCCATCAAAACAAAAAAAAAAGGAGCCGGCCAGCATTAAAACAAACGAACGAACCAAAACCATTTGAAAATGTGGCAAAAGAAAGTACACTATTCGAGGAAAAGGCGAATGAATTGTGACGTGTTATGCTCAAACATCCAAAGCTGCAAACCCTGCAACAAGAAAAATGACATTGAAAGACAAGAGAACAAGCAAGCGACAAACATTTGACTCTGTGCTTACCTGATAAACGGATCGGTCGCCATCTTGCCGCACCTGTGCACACCTGACTCCCAATTCATCTGGAGGCATGACGTCACATTGGCCGATCCAAGCCAACCTCCTACTTCTGCTGCGTGTTCAACGGCGCTTTGCACACTAGTGCCACTCAGTGAACCGCCATGACGACTGTTTTGGCTTACCTTGGAAATTGCTTGATTTCATCCAACAAAAATGAAATGGAATCACCTGCCATAAACTGCGGCAAACCCGGCTTTCATTCCACATCCGTTCGTCGTCTTCAGGGGCCACGTTGTTGCCCTCTCCTGGTCAGTATGAGAAATGCTGCCGGTGACAAACACCGAGAATCCAAACTAAATAGACGAGTCGATTTTCCATCTCCAGCTTCCCTCACTTTTTCTTCTCCCGTTGAGCATTTACACTGTTGCTGTTTGTTCAATCATCTTTAAATATACCCTTAAATTAAACCCTCTGCGTTGTCGTCGTGTTATCGCATCTAAAAAGCGCATCCGCAGTCTTTCCGGAAGTATGTCTTTGCAGGTTTAGTTGTCCACTAGGTGGCACCGTGCACCCTCCGATGACTGAACGCATCCGCGACTGCTGAGAGCTGGTGGCTGGTTTTCAACGAGGATCCTCAGGTTTGAAATTTCATACAATTTCAATCACGAGTAAATATTGCTCAAATTCACAGATATCTTACTGCTTATATATTTTACAGTAAGCCTACAAGTCACATATGTACAAATATGTGCTCACGCTGACCTTTCCTCAGCGCCGAAGTATCTGAAGGGTTTTTTTTTGGAAATGTGACTGACAGTGCCATCTACTGGATCTTTTCAGCATTACGCCAACTTAAACACGCTATTGAGTCGAATCGTTATGGTGACGAAAACATCTCTGGCATGAATTGGACAATCACAACGTTGTCAATTTGGAAGGCATCGAAACAAAATTTACTCAACACAGAATTTCAGCTTATTCGGTAAGAAATCACATTGAAAAAGACAAAAGTATGCAAATGTTTATGTAAACCCTGCCATGAACATGTGGTTATTTGAGGAGTTGGGAAGACTAACAATATGTCACGAGAAAGTTACCCCCCACCCCCAGGCTAAATGTCATGTTTTTAAGTGTGAACTACGTGATGTTAATTGCAATTCATGATCTTAGTTTGACAGCCACTGTATTATGCAGTCTGTACTCTAGAGGAGAGGAAAGCCTTTATATAAACTAAACTATAAATAATACAATACACACACAAATAAAGCAGACAATAAGATGGGGCGTGGGGGGCAGGGAATAAACCATGAAAAATGTATGGATACATTCAAAAGTGCAGACCAAACAATCAAGGCTGTTAGGAATTAAAGCCAATATACGGTCTTACAAAGTCAACCCAAAGAAACTTCAAATCATATTCACTTGATGGAGTACATTTGTCTTGGCAATATGATTTCACATTTATGTCCGGCTCGATGGACCACCCTGATTGGCAGACAGATCCAAAGATTCTAAAAGTGTATCTTGACTCCGCTGGTAAAAGTGCTTTACAAACTACTTGTTTTATTAGCGTTACGTGAGCCAAGTAGAAGACGATATGTGAGAAAACTATCGGATTGGCTGTAAAAAAATACCGCCGACAGACTTCTCTAATGTGAATGTGCAAAAGGCCTTGGTATGGGTGAAAAATAGAGGGAGGGCTCTAATTACTCGAGCGACCGCGTACAAAATGCCGTTGTCCTTTGTTTCATGTGGAGCATTCCCTTTGGCACTGCTGCTTGTTTCCTGTCTGTCTCCGTGGCAACAGGGTGAGTCGAAATCGCCGCTGGCCAGTTTCAAGAAGCAGCTGCTCCCCATGCCGAAGCCCGCGGCCCCCAGAAGCGACGCCTCCACTTGCCGTCAGGTGGACTTCCACAGAGGATTGTTGTACATCCAGCCGTCTCCCTGCAACATATTGTCGCGTTTTTGACGTTTGTCCAGGCAAGATGTAGAAAGTGAAAACACCAGAAGCGAATCTGGGGATCAGTCCAGAGTCTAGCGGGTGCAGTATTACTCTCGCAATACTATTTGTATTTGTGTTGGATGCGCAATTTATTTGCTGACTTTCACCAACCCTGAGTAACCATGGAGAAGGGCAGTCACATGACTGCAAACTAACCCGAGGCCTCACATTTACTTTTAGAGGACTACTTTGGACTGAGACTTGAGTCATATTACTTTACACCAGTGGTTTTCAATTATTTTCTGTCATGCCCCCACGAGGAAGAGGAAAACATCTCGCCCCCCCCCGGCCCCCAACCATCAAAATCTTTTTTTCGGTAAAAAACGACTTACTAAACCTCATTGTTTTTTTGGGCAAAAAATGCCTTACTATTTATAGTCGTTTTTTTCGGCAAAAAACGCCTTACTAGACATGGTTGTTTTTTCTGGAAAAAATGCCTGACTATACATCGTTGTTTTTTGGGGCTAAATACGCCTTACTATCTATGGTCGTTTTTTTGGGCGAAAAAATGATGAGGTATAGTAAGGCGTTTTTAGCCGAAAAAAAAGACCATGTATAGTCAGGCGTTTTTAGCCAAAAAAAACGACCATGTACAGTATAGTAAGGCGTTTTTAGCTGAAAAAACGACCATGTATAGTAAGGCGTTTTTAGCCAGAAAAAAACAACCATGTACAGGAAGGCGTTTTTAGCCGAAAAAAAACAACCATGTATAGTAAGGCGTTTTTAGCCGAAAAAACGACCATGTATAGTAAGGCGTTTTTAGCCGAAAAAA